AGAATCCCAGAGTGGGAATGGTCAGGATTTTGATGGAGAGATCACTCTCGAGCTACCCCTCCATGCCTAGGAGAACCTTTTCCAAGTCCTTGCACTCAAAATTCATCCCTCTTATACACTCAAATCATCAGGACCAAGTGCCTGGACAGCGCAGCTCTGTGTACGAAGGAACCTGGGAGGGGTGTCATCTTTGTAAGGAAGCTGGAGCAACATGGAGCCCAAGCAGTTTTGTCTGGCACTGTCTGGCATCTTTTGAGCTGGGGTTTGCATGTGGATTTTGCCCCAAAAGCCCTGCCCTCCTGCAGACTGGTGGGCAGCTGTGCATGGCACAGTGACATCCCAGCATTTCTGTTAATTAATTAATTAACTGGGTAGCAGAGATGCAAGCATGAGGGCTTCAGCCAGCAGTGGGCTGCCAAGACACAAAACCAGCGCTGGTGGCTGACAAATTGATTTGTGCCCATAGGTAACATGAAGGCAACTGGAAAATCTGTGTTTAAGAGAGGTCAGCAGCTACAAAAGCAATCAGGCCACACAGGTCTCTAAAAGGTATTTGGGGTTAATCTGGTACCTTTGCTGTGGGAAGGGCCTGAACCCATCTCCTCCAGTCTCCAGGGTGGTGCTTCAGAGCAACCTCCACTAGCTAAGCCCCAATCTGTGCTGTTATTTCTCATGCCATGGCAGTGAAGAGTACCAGTAGTGTCCTAAGGGTACCACACACCACTGTGACGGGTCATCTAAGCTCTGACATGTGCCTCGGTGGTGGACCAACATGGTAGTTAGAAAGGTGCACAAAAACGTTCTCCCGGGGACCCAGAGCCATGTGTGAGACTTGGGTGACTGACCATGTCATTGAAAACTGAGCACGAACCTGTGTTCACAGTGAAAACTTCCCCATGTCTCCCAAAATTTTGATGGAGATATGTGGCCGAGTTGCTGGAGCTGAACAGGTTAGTGGTACCCTCTGAGTTACAGCAAACATTGATGCGCCCCTGCCCCATCTCTTCATTGAGCTTAGATGAGTAAGTTCTCCTTGCATGTGATGGCAGGTAGGCACATGGACAAACAAGTCCAGCCAAATCTTTTTGGAGCTTGCCAGCTTTGTGTCCTGATGCCAGGGTTATCATCCCATAGCAAAGGGATGGACTGGGTGATGCATCTGTTCCTCACCTGCTGCACTTCAAGGTTCAATGTTTTTTTGCTTCAACAACTGCTGAAGATGGTTTTGGATTCTTGCTGGAGACTTTCTTAGAGGGAATATTTGCTTTTGCCACTAGGAGGGAATTTTGTCCTGTTTATGCCAAGATATAAAGGAACATTTCTTGTGCATTTCTGCAACCTCACTGGGAACCAAGAGTGAACCACTGAGCAAGAAGAGTTTTTGAGACAGGATCCAAGCCCACAGTACAGTACTGGGTGCCTAAGCAATTGTGGAAGACCAAAATGGGCTGATCCAGCATAGCCTGCCCATGGGAAACCTTTCCTTCAGGCCCCATTGATTGGGAGTTTCTTGTGCTTTGAAGCCTGAGGGTTCACAGCCCCTTTCAAAACTTATTAATTCTGCCCCTTGCTGACTCTATCTTTAAAACTTACCAGTGGGTAAAAAAAACCCTTGTGAATGTTGGAGACCTTGAATCTATAACCACGGCCCCGTGAGGTGAGCTGGGACGCCTGGTCCAAGGCACTTTTTTGTCTCAGCTTCCCCAGCTGATAAATGGGAATGATGATATGGGGAAGGGAAGTCCGTCCAGATCTGTGACACCAAGCACTATGTAAGAGCATGACATTAATGATTATAGTTAACCTCAGCAGCTGTCAGCATCTGCATAAATGTCCAAGGCCCTTTAAATCCTACTCTCTTTCCACCTTCATCAGACTTTTGGATGAGGAATTTAACAGGTTAATTGTGTGAAAACTGAGTGAGAAACATCTTAAATGTCCAAGCCTCTGAAACAGCATGGGAGCTCCTAGGAAAGCTGATCCTGGATTTTTGGACCAGTGCTGGTTCTGAATTATCTCTGAGCTGACCATGTCTTCTCTCTCTGTAAAAACAAGATAAAATCCTCTAATAGCCCTCCTCAAAAAATAACCCCACAAAACTCCAAACGAAGCAAAATCATTAACTTTGAACCCAATGAATGTTTAGTTTCCTGACTCTTGGGTAAATATTAGATAGATTCCCAATTTCAACCTGAAGCAGTTTATTTGGCTGCTGTTCACAAGTCAGACACAGCAATAATCAAGGAAATCTCGTTTGATTCAGGTTGGGTAATATTGCCTGAGGGGTAACATCATTTTCATTTCCACACATCCAGCACTGGCACAAAACGGCATGGACAGGTATGAAAAATGGATCATGGATCCTTGGTGCTAAAATTCCAGCTGATAGTTTCATTTTTGTATAAATAATAATTACCAATAAAAATGTTGCTTGAAAAAAAGAGAATGTGAAAAGAAAAACACCGTTGCATTTGATAAAGTAAAATCCTTTGCAGTACTGCCAAAAGAAAAAGAAAAAGAAAGAAAAAACAAAAGAGAGTTAAAACAAATATAGCTGTTAAATAAAAGATCCGGGTACCAAAGAGCAAAATTTAATGAAAGCCAAAACTGTTAAATATGGATTCCTGTTGAGAAAAAATGTCAATGTCTTTAAGAGTTTTACCATTACTCTATTTTTAAGAAAAGTGTAGTAAAAATACATATTACAAGTTAACATTTTCCACGCTTTTGTCCTATTCATCTTTTTTTTTTTTTTAACTCCTCCACTGATCAAAAGCCTTTGAAAACTGCATCTCACATCTTCACGTCGCAGGCGGCCAGTCCTAGCACAGATGTGCTGCTTCTCACGAGACCGTCTAACTGCCCAGTTGGGCTTCCCACGACCTGCTGCCTTGTGGTCCTGTCTTTGGAGGAGGACGGGGCACCGATGGGTCTCAGCAGTCTGCTCCCACCACAGCGCCCGGCGCTGCACTGCCATGGCAAGGTCTGGGACGTGGCAAGAGCTGGGTCAGGAGATGCATCCGAGGGCTCTGGGCATGGAAACAGGCTAGCTTGTGGGATGCCTCCACTGTGCTAACACTTACACAGAACTGAAGTTAAAATTAAGAAAAGTGGATTAAAAATAATAATAATAACCAACACAAAGTGACCCGAAGAGGTGTTTGGAGTGGTTGATAACAAAGTTCATGTTCAGTGATGAGAGATGAAGGTTTCCAGTGGTGGAGAGAGGAAAACATATTGGCACAAGACATGCTGTGCCCGAGCTTAGGACCTTGACTCTGACTTGCTGGTCTCCAAAGTGTTGCATGACAAATCGGTAAATGGAACAGATACTTCAGACCAGGCTGGTGTTAAAGGTGGTAAACGTATTGCTCTGCACATTCGTACACTGATGGAAACTGGTATTCAGGCAGCTTCCAGCTGTACTTATGGACAGCTGCATAGACAGATCCTTCTCATAGACTTGTGCCAGTCATTTGCCTGCATCTCTTTCTCTTCACCTGCCTCCCTTCTTTTCCTGCTCCTCTTTTGCTACGTTGCAGAAAAAAAAAGAAAGAAAAAAAAAAAGAAAAAAGAAAAAAAATGAGGAAAAGCAGCTCAGAACGCTCCAATAACAGCTCAGTCCCTGGACAGATATTTGCTGGGTCCTGTGAGAAGCTTTGAATTTTATTTGCCATTAGTGGTGGACCTGTGAGATGGGACAAGGCTAAGTGGGTTCACTGTGGTCCCTGCCCCACAGAACTTCTTTCTCTCCAGATGCTCCCCTGTGAATCCTTCATTTCTGGGGAGGTGTCTCAGGCCCACCAGCGTGGGAAGCATTTGTCTGTCCATGCCAGTGATTCACAGAACGAACCTTCTGTGCGATTCTGGAAAACCATCCTTTGCCCCTTTGATCTCCATGCCAGTGGCTGGACTCCCAGGTGCCTGTCTGGCAGTGCAGGTTTCTGCAATACCAAGTTTGGGGTCAGCAACCTGCTCTCCTGGCTTGTGGATGCTTCCCCCTCCCTAAGGATATATGAGTGGGAACCTGCTACTTTTTACCCAGACAGGCCACAACTTGATGGGAAGGCTGAGTTTGACCAGCCCTGATGCTGTTGAATGTCATGGACGCTTGAATGAAGCGTTGTAGGATCTCCTCCTTGGTTCGCTTCAGCATTTCCTTCCAGGAAGCCATTCTGGCCAACTATCTACAAAATGTCCCTCTTAATTAGAAAAATGGCCATAAAGGGATTTCAGAGCAAAAAGGCAGGGATATTCCCATTGCAGTCCCATGACTTCTAGCATGTTTTACTGGTTAATAGGCAGCCATCTAGAACTAGATGTCTTGAGATGGTCTACTCCCGGCTCAAGGTGGTTCCCTTATGTGACCACCAAAAAGAGAGCACACACAGAAGCTAAGCAATGAAGAAATGGTTCACAATTGCTTATTAGCCCCCAATAACCTAGGCAGGAGAGTCGCATGTGAGAGGAACGCGGCATTTACTTTCTCTTCCATAAACAGCAGCCAACCATGATCTTAGACCAACCATCTGCTCTAGTCTGCCACGCATGATGCTCTCCACTCCAGGCACACAATTCTTCTCTTGAACCGCCACTCATCATCTCTGGAAGAATTATCACTTTGTCCTCAGGTTACCTGGGGTTTCCAAACTCACTCATGACTCTGACCCTGTAAAACAGCCTTTTTTTTTTGTTCAGGTTCTTTCTCGCATGAAGTCCTTCTTTTTGCAGGGAGAGCCGTTTGCAGCTACGTCTGCCTCGTTGCAATAACTCCACAGCCTGAGTTCACCACAGAACAACGGAAGGCAGAATCACGATGGACAAAAGGGTTCGATGCTGACGCCCTGCAGGGAGTTCAGCTTGCCATTTATCAGATTTTCTTTTTTGCTGTTAGTAGCTCAGACATTATGGTTTGCATCCCAAACTAAACCAGATTGAAGGACTGAGCAGGGAAGGGGAAAGGGCTGATGTTACCCTGACACCACAGGAATTAGTAAGAAAAAATATATATATTGCACACACTAAGACTTATTAACAACCAAGTTAAAACAAAATGGCATCGTCCTCATTAGTGTTCCAGTGGTTCTTTGATCAGGGACGGTTCACGAGTCTGTTAAATCCCATTACACTCTCCTTATTGCAGTACAGACCTCTTTCTGTTCTCCTGCCGGTGGATCTGTTTGCAAATAAAAAGGGAAATAGATTTGATTTCCTTGAGAAGATCCATCCAATTGTCCTTTCCGTCATCGTCATTTTTCTTGTTGGTGTTGGGTTTGTTTTTGGCTCTGGAGGGGGTGGAGTCGGGCTGCCCCTGCTCTCACCCAGGCAATGGGTCAAAAGGCCAATTATAATCCCGTAGCTCCCAGGGACATGCCGGTGCTGTGGCTCATGCACGGGATTGTCTGCATGGATTTGGGGAAATCGTGGCTGACCACACGTCCGTTTTCTCCACTGCCTCCTGCTGCAGCCGGCCTGGGAAGGGTTGATGTCCGTATGGCTTCGTTGATTGATTGCTGTGGGATTAAACAAAAACCCTTTTTAGGAAGGACGGGGGGGTCTCCCCCTGTCCTTAGCAATGTTGGAGAAATTACAATATAAACCAGTGTTGTCTTTCTATCACTGTTCTCTCCCTCTGTGTCTCCGTTCAGACTCTCACTTTCTGCATGTCCCTACTGCATCTGCTCTGTTAATTCGCACCTCTTCTACATTCAAAATTAAATGTTTCAGCAGTATTTTGGGGTATAAAGCATACGTGCCATATGCAAAAACTATTCAAACTCTACAACATAAGAACAGTCATCCTGGATCTGAGCAGAGGTATTATACACACTTCCCCCATAGATATGCTATTACTACTCCAGTACTGTTCTGTATGGTGGACTCTGACTCACTGCAAGCATATGTTTAGCTCTCCTCATGTAAGAAGTTGAGCATGTGCCTATGTTTTTGTCTACAGCGATGACTGAGGTGACCAGGAAATGCAAACCTAATTCAGGAACCCAAATCTCATCTTCCTGTTCCAGACACCATCCAAAACGTTTTGAGAAATCTACGGAAACCACCTGTTTAGAACAATTGAACTAAGGGATGACGTTCATTTGGTTTCTTTGCATTTAAGCCGTCTCTAAGGACACCATCATCCTTTTTGGACTGGGATATCCAGGTGAAGAATTATCCAAAACAGATAAATCTGGAACAGCTATTCAGAAACAGCCAACTTAGTGCCTTGCCAGGCATGGAGCAGCCTCCTGTGCTGGCGGGATCTGCAGCTCGCCCGGGGGGTCCGTAGGGCCTTGCGGAGCAGAGGTTGGGTTTAGAGGGGGATCTGACCCGTCTTTCTGGGCATTTGCTGGGCTCCGCTGAATGGCCTTGTGGGGTGGCCACTGATGGTGGGAGCCAGCCAAAGGGACAAGCTTAGAATATGTTAACATTGGGAGCAATGATTCCTTCCCATAATGGCTGGTTTTAACACGGCAACAGCACTGCAAGCTAACACGGACGAGAATTAGTGGGTTATTTCTAGCAACACAGGGAAGGCAATACCAGGGCAGAACCTCCTTAAGACTAAAACTATGGAGCTATTGCATTCTGACACTCTTTTGCAGTGTATTTGTGACATACCTAGCTTTACAGTGTAGACAGCAATTATAATTTAATTTTTGTATATTCAGGGACATTAATTGCTTGTATTATCTTACCCCTGTGCTCAATGCACCTCTCATTGCCTGTAGAATTTTCTGAACCTCAATGGAAAAAGAGCTATTGCACATTTTCAGTGAATTAGAAATATTATTATTCCTGACAAAACATTAAGCATGTTGTGAAATGGTGACATAAAAACCAAAGAAACGATTGCTTATTTTCCTTTTGATTCTGGGTAAGTTTCAGTGCTCAGGGAAGTGAAAATCTCTCTAAATTTTATGAAACTCACTGCATACGTCATATACTCATACCCACTTCGGTGCTCATGGGAGAGGTCAAGATGAGGAAGAAAAGGGATGTGTTACTCTTACAGCACAGATCCCGTTGCACCCTTGTACACAATGATATCTGTTATAAGGGATCGCCTCTGCTAGTCATCTGAGTCAAGATACACTTGTTCCACAGATTCTGCATTAAATGTGTATCCCCAAGGCTCTCAGATCTAATCCACTCTTGACACGACACTCTGAAATTTAGGCACCCCAGAATTTAGGGCTGAAACAAATCTCCTGGGTCATAGGAAGTATGATTCTTCAAGATCATGACAGGGTGGAGAAAAAAAAAAAACATTACAGGAGCCATTAGAGGCCAATTTCTCTCTAAGAGGACCCATAATTCTGAATCTGGAGACCCACATCATCCATTCCAGGGCAACAACACTCTGAGCACAGTATCACTCTTGCCAACCTCCAAATGGTGCCAGCAGGGTGCCAGCAAAGGGAACAACAGGATCTGATTCATTACCGTGCTACCCCAGTTTTATCTTGCTGTTAACTGCTTGGGTTTGGGGTTTTTTTTTTATTGCAGTAGCGGCTGTATCACACCAACCCCAGCACACTTCATCCATGCTGCACACGCATTGCCATAGTCTGCCTTCTTTAATTTAAGGAATGGCAATGTGTTCCTGTTACCATTTGTGCTATGATTTTGCTCTATATCTGGATTTTGAACTAGCATTATGCCACATGTCTGATCTTGCATCAGCTCCCCGCTACGGCCCACTTCCTCTGACGCTCCTATTCCTTTCTAGCAAGTCGAGTGACATGGTCACTTCATTATCCCTATGTCTTGGCTTTCCACCCATGGTTTGGGCTGCATCCGTCTCTGAAGGCAGCTTTGGAGCCGGGGTAGGATCAGAGAGAAGGTGTAAAAGGCCGGGGAATGGGTTGCCACCTTCATCCGCTTTGATTCACTTCTGGACTTGTAACAAAACTCGATTAAGGCAACCAGCATGGCTAGTCCGAGCCCACCGATGAGGATATAGAAAACCCCCGCCACATTGCTGAGACTCAGCGCGCTCGTCTTGTCCTAGAAGAGAAAGGAGAAGGGAGGGAGGGGAGGGCACGTGGGAAGGAGAACAACAAAATTAATATGAGATTGCTCCGGGAGGGATGCTGCACAATATAGCAATGTTGGCATTACATCAGCTCCCCCTTTAAATGAACAGGTGACATTTCTAAAAGCATTTTCAATTTTTAATTCGGTGTCTAGTAAATCTAATGTTTCCCTCACACAAACAAACAAACATTTCTTCAGCAATGTGACTCTTTGTAAAGGTTTGGGATCTCTGTTTTTCAATCAGCTAACTTAAATGCTTGTTTTACCCAAAATGCCTAGTTTAAATTATTGATTAAAAGAGAAAAAAAAGAAAAAAGTTCTCCACCTCTGTGACATTTGCTTGTCCCTGATATCTCGCCTGAAATAACCTGTTCTCTTGGAAATGCTCATTCCTTCATTCCTAGATTGTTTCCCCCGCAAAGTCTGTTGCTGAGCAACACATCAAAATGGCTGGGTTTTTTTCTTTTTTTTTTCTTTTCCTCTTCAGTACTGAGGTTGAGGTGACACCTGAGCTGTCCTCAGAAACTCATTTGATTTCTGCGTAATAAGGCAGTTATTTCATATGCAATCAGGACCCGTTGATGCATGTCTAAACTAATTATTTGGTTAGCAATAAATAGGGCTACTAATGGACCACAACTCACAGTCAGCAGCTACATTCTGATTTTACAATTGCCTAATGAATTGTCACGACTCTCTGGGGAAGAGGCGAGTCTCAGAAAGACTCAATTCACTGCTAGGGAAACCGAGTCACCACATCTAACCCCGATGTCACTCAGTGCAACTCTCAAAACCTTCTCCTCCATGCTGACCAGGTGGAGTTGGGGTGTTAGGATAATCTGGGCAGCAGCAGGACCCAAAAGCTTGGCTCAGCACCGTGTACGAGGCTCCTGTTTCTAGGACACGCTTTCTCTATAGTGCAACCAGATAGGGCTCCCCTGCTCCGTGCTTGTCGCTGCTCTGCAATACTGACTCAATACCTATTTGCCGGTACAGATTTCCCAGGGCAAGCCCAACAGGTCAGTGCAAGTCTGTTGGAGCGACCAGGGTCTGACCAGCATTGACAGCCCTACTCCCTGGACCTGGGAGGAAAACTGCTTATGGATCATTTGAGATGCAGCCACACAGTTAAAGAACAATATTTATGCCTGTAGAAGTGTCTGCAGTTGGGAACGAAGCCTCTGCATGGTTCTTGGTGTTCCCTGCTACTCCATGGACACGTGGACTGGTGGGTGGCACGGCTTGTAGCTTGCCCTTGTAGGACAGTTGATTCACTTGCTTTGCTTGGCAGGTTTTACAATAAGCAACTCACACTTTTCGGAAAGGGCAAGGATTCAGGAAGCGGAAAACTGTACTGGAGCGATGTCGAAAGGGTCCAAAACCAAACACCAACATGAGCATGGAAGGTTTTGATTCAAGAGCAGTCTGCCTGGCACTGGCACTGTCTTTCAGGCAAGTACGTTTTGCAAAAGGATTTTGTCTTTTGCAGTATTACAGTTTGATGGCAAAAAAGTTAACCCACAAAGCATGAAAACATTTCAATATTCAAAATTAAAAAAACCCTTCTGTTACAGAAAAGAACTACTATTTTATTTTTTAATAGGAAGAAAAGAGGGTTCCAGTCCAGAATACGAAAAAAAATTATTTTTTTACTGCTCCTTCTTTGGGCCCCACTGCCCATGAGAGCTGCAAAGCTTCTGCTCAGCTGGAGCTGTCGCCGCAGGTTCCAGTGCCGCAGGGAGCAACTTTCCATCCTGAACTCTCTGCTGAAAGATGCTGAGGTTTGGTTAGGGGTAACGCCTGCAGAGTTTCGGTCCCTGGAAAAAACTCCACAAGTGATTTCATTTTCCATGCTTCGCTGATTGACATGGTTGCCAAGAGATTCGCTGCGGTCACCCTGCGCGTTGCACTGCTGCAGACGTGACGGTCGCCGCTGGCAGACAGGTTTAATTTCTCCCTTGTATAACCTTCATAAGCTGGTCACTTTGTAATCTTGCCGATGCTTCCTGTGTGCTCTCTGTAATGAGAGATTTCTGCAAATATCCTCTTAATTTCTGCAGTTTCCATATTTGAAGGATTATTTATCTGGTCTTTTCTAATCTGCCTTCATGCATTTTTTCCCCCCAGGCTTGACTGTATGTTTGTTCAGTCATCTATTCTCTGCAGATTACTGGGTATACTTTTAAGCACCAGCTGAAAAATGTAGGGAGTTTTTTAGGGAAGATTTAGAAAAGCGGAGCAATTACTCGGAGAAAACTGGGTTACAACACATCAGCTACTTTGCATCTTCAAATTCAGTCTGAAGGGGCTGCACCAGCTTCAGGGAGGGACAAAGACACTAGAGGTGGGCTGCCTTCCTTGACACCCTAATCTTCTAGCTTGGCTCCTTAATGAAAAGTGGCTGATTAGCACGTGCTCTGCGCTCAGAGGGAAGGATGGGGACAGGCAAGGAGGTGGAGCAGCCTATTTGTCTGTGTCTTACTAATGATTTTCAGCCCATACTTCCACATTGGTTTGACAGAAGGTATCAGGAACCTCCAAGCTTTGTGAAAAAGCGTGACACTGTAGAGAAGAGAAAACCTATTAATGCTTTCACTCAAGTAAATGTATCAGTGCAATCCATACTAGGCATCTGAGAGTCCACATGGGTCTTTGACTTGCAGCCACAGATCCTTAGGAAACCTGGCTTCCTTAGCTCTGCCGGGCATGGGAATACAAAACTTTCAGGTTTTATTGGCCAGGATATTGTTGTGTTTCCACTCCCAGTTTGGGGGTCATGGTCCAACAGGGCACCTTCTCAGCTGGCTGCAATGGCAGAGCAGTCTGGCAGCCAGAAAGGCTGCTGGTTCTTAATTTCCACTTTCCTCCTGATGTCAGCAGCAAATCAACCAGTAAGAGAGAGGAGATGACCCAAAGCAGTTTCCTGCACTACTATTTCATACAATTAATTTCAGAGCAGTTTATTTTTCTTGCATTTAATTTGCAGTAGCATTATTATTATTGTTGTTGTTGTTGTTGTTACTATTATTATTATTACTATTGTTACTACTGTTACTATTATTATTGGGACAATTTGGGTGAACTGAAAGTTGTCTTATCCAGAAGGCAAAGGAAAACACAGTGAGGCACACTGGTGGGCAAACCTGCTGGGAGGGAGACAGCAGCCTGAGTTTCACCTTCGCCACCATAACAAGGTTTCTCCCAAGGAGCCAAAGACACGGGCACTGAGGCACACCGGACTGCGGGGACACGGCTGGTGACACAGCCTGCTATCATGAGCCAGGCTGAGAAGTGAAATTGCTCCTGTGGTGTCACTTGACTTCTTGCTCATCCTCTCCTTTTTCTTTTCCTTTTTGTTTCCTTCCCTCTCCCAGCAGGACATGCAGAGATGTTCTCCGGGCGGTAGTGGCATCTCGTTGCTCCCATCAGCTGCAGGACCAGACCCACAGGAAGGGTAGGAAACGCTGCATGCCCCACGGAGGCTTTGCCTGCTGTTTCCATGCACGCTCCTGCCCTAATAATGCTAATAATAATAAAAAGTCCCAAATTATGCTAACTGCTTGAAGGGACCCTCCCCTCCTCTCTGCTCGGGCTCTGTGACACCAGATGCTCTCCTGCAGAGCTGCCCATCACCGAACCAGCTTGTTAGTGGGAGTGTAAATGTCACCGCTCGTCTCCCGCAGCAGCAGAGTGCTAACGTGGGGGGAAGATTGGCAGGTGAAAAGAGAAAGAAAAACCCATCTTTCAGAAAGCCCAGCCTTGTTGCTGCAGCAACCAGGCATCTTCCCGTCTGTTCCTCTCAAACGTGGCACCGTGTCCTTCATCCTCTTTGTCGTTATTTATCCTCCTTGGCTGAAAGGCGTTAAGGCCAAATTTGCCCAGTTTTCCAGCAGGGGTGGTCCTTTCTTTTACCCTGCGTGACCAGAGCCTGTTGGCAACACAGGGTGATGGCACCTCAAGTTGTTGCGGTCTCCACAGAAGATGAACTGTCCTTAGAGCGGGTGGTAGCTTCAGAAGTTGAGCTTTTACACCAAACACTAGGCCAACTTTACTGGGGAAAGGCCTAAAGCTCAGCAATGAAGGACATAGCGGTGGCCATCCTCTGACTCACTCTGAGCGCTGCTGTGGGTCTGCCAGGGGATGGGTAGGAGCACATGGATGGCCGGCTGCAGGGATGAGGCTGCCCAGCATGAAAAGACACCTTTGGTTTGAGAACCAGCCAATTCCCTGCAAAGGCAGGGCAAGGCAGTAGCAGGATTTGTTTCCTATTTTTTATTATATTTTTAAACAAAAGCGCAATTCTTGCAACTGGAAAAAAGGACGGGGAGATCCCTGTGGCTTTGATGAAGTTCCTTTAATTGCATGAAGTGATCTGGCTGCCCCTGCAAGGAGGTTGCACCTTGCCATCCTGGTCTGGAAAAAAACTTCCTTTCTCCCAGTGCCTTGCAAAATCCCCAGGG